AAGAAAATGTCAGAATGAGAGAACAAATTTGTCTAATTAGTTTTATTAAGTTAATTTTATTGATTATAGAATTATAACTAATAGAGGAAAGAAACCCATCATCTTGAAGGATGACACATCCAATATAGTCTGTGGTTTTTATTTACCAGTATTTGTCTTAAATCTTAACGTTTGTGCATTTTGAGAGAAAAAGTCATATCTTGTCACGTAATATTTACATTTCCATTATGTAACCCCTGTATACTTCAGCATTTAGAGGCTATAATGTTAAACAAGTGAAAGGATAAAAAAAAAATATGATTTAGAGAAAAAATAGCAGAATCTTCTGCTGTATATATGATTATCTCATCTGTTAGTTAATGATAGGAAGAATAATCTAATAAATGAAGCACATAAAATAATCAAATAACTTTTATATTATTTAGTTTAAAATAACAGTTAATAAAAGAAGTGTGAGTTCTTAGATATCATTGATGGTCTCAGGGCTCCCCCTCTTGGAGACTCCTACACTGCAAAAATGATCTAGAAATAAGTTAAAATGTCCCAAATCAAGTGTATTTACCCTTAGTTTTAGTAGTTAATTGGGATGATTTGCCAATGGAATTAGTATGTTTACTCTTAAAATAAGATAATTAGATAATATGCACTTGTAATAAGACAATACAATTGCTTTTTCTTATTTTAAATGTAAATTGTCTTGTTGGCAAAGTGTCGCACTTACCTTCTCAATTAAAGACAAACAGCACTTATTTTAAGAAAAAATTATTTATTTAGATTTCAATTTTTTTGCAGTGTAAGACATGTCCAAGAACTGATTTTGTTGTGGCCAATTCGTGTCAAACGACCTAAAAATCGGTACACTTCTTTAAGATAAAAGTATTTATCTTTAATTTGAGTAGATACTGTAAAAAAATGATCTGCAAATGCAAAGAGTATTTTTTACCCTTAAAATAAGATCATTAAGATCATGCACATGAAATAAGAGGCTGTGGTTATTTTTTCTTATCCTAAACATGAATTGTATTCCAATGGCAAAGTTTTTG